ATCATGTCTATTATCGATTAATATTAGTCCTTGTGCAAAATGGAATACAGCTGGTATCACAATTGCTGGGAATGGTTCACTAGGTATAGGTGCTAATCAACTTAATTATCCTCAAGGTATTTTTATTCATGACAAAATTAAACGATTATATGTATCTGATACAATGAATCATCGAATTCAAGTATTTCCATTAGATCAATCAACAAGAACAGGTTTGACTGTAGTATCTGAGTTAAAAACTTATTACAAAATTTATGTTGATGACGATGATGATGTCTTTCCGACTATTTATGCTGCAGTTAATAGCGACAATGGTGTTGAAAAATGGACAAAAGGAGCCACTAATGGTGTGCGAGTTGGTAGTCATTGCTTGAGTTGTACAGGAGTATGGTTAGATAAAGATAAAAATGTTTATATGTCAGAAGAGAAAAGACATTGTATACTTAAATGGTCACCTTTAACGAACACTACAACAATAGTTGCTGGTGAATCACGCGTAAGTGGACCATATGCTGATGAACTCAATCAACCTCAAGGTATATTTGTTGATAAAACTACTAGTGCATTGTATATAGCTGATCTATTAAATCATCGCATACAAAAATGGCCAAAAAATGCTTTAGAAGGTGTTACTGTAGCTGGCTCAAGTGATGGTAAACCAGGTTCTGATAATGCATCATTAGATAGACCATATGGTTTACGTGTTGATGAAGAAACAAAAATAGTCTATGTAGTTGATTTAATGAACAATAGAATTCAACGTTGGAAACATGGTGAAACCGAAGGTGATACTATTGCTGGTGGTAATGGTATGTTTATCATTTCATTTATATTTTCTCATTAACAAGAAGAGAAAAAAATAAATGTTAGAATTTTATTATCGATGTTTGATTATGATGAATATAGTTTTGGGAGATACAAAGATTAAAGAAGGTTCTAAAATACTTTTAAAAATAATTGAGAAAAAAAAATGAACTTGACGAATTAGATATTTGATTATGCGAAGAAGAAAGAATGAACTATTTTTATGATTAGGTGAAGGGAACAAAAGTAATCAATTTCATCATCCAACCGATTTGGCATTTGATAGTGATGGCAATCTATATGTAAGTGATGCCTGGAATCATCGTGTTCAATTTTTTGCTTTGATTGATAATCGACCATGTCAAGCACCATCGACAGGTAATTCTATTATTCTTGTCTTTTTCTTCTATTTAATTTAATTTTTGTTTATATGTTTAGCAAGTTCCTCAATGCACAAGTAAGTAAAGCAAAATTGAAAAATAACATTACGGAATATAATTTTTCTTATAGGTCACCAATAGTTTTATCTTTGGTGTTTATTATAACTTGGATTATCATGAAATTATTGTGACTGTTCTATCACACTATGTAGTTGTGACATGTGTGATACTTTTATTTCATCTAAATAAATAAAACTCAACAATATTTCAGTCTATCATCGGATCATTCTATCTTAGAAGACAAATAAAAATATCAAAAAGATATAAAAAGGATATGACGAAAAATCATGATGAGTTCTGAAAGAGTATATTTCATATTTACTGTATATATGTCTAAGAAATAAAAATGCTCATTCCACTCACGACGGAACGTCTCCAAGTGTGATTATCCAATCAAACTGATATTTTGCCAACAAGCAATAGTGACGTAACCAGGAGATCGTGAGTGGTAGAGCAGTATCTTACGATCTTAGGGGTAATCCATGAAATATAATGTCAATGATACTAATTAACGAGTGTGGCAGAAGAAATTACCGATTTTTGACAGACTATTTTCTCATGTTAAGCTGGCTCAGAAAGTTTTATTCTGATGTTAAAAGATAGAGAATTTTGCGTAGATTTTATTGATATATTCCTTTCAAAATGAGCATTTGTTCTTTTCCTGAAGCATTAAAAGTACTGTATACCACAAAGACATAATTTGCTAAACTATACAATGAGACACTTTTGAACAGAGATATTTATCTAGTTAATTTTAGTTCAAAAATTTCTTCTTGCTGGTAAGAGATGGAAAATTCTTCGGTGTATCTAGTGTTATGTTAGTTGTTATACGCTCAGCTGTTTCTACTTAAAAAAAAACACAAAACACTAAAAAAAGTATGCTCAGCCAACGGAATTATACGTTTCGTTGCCAAAGTTTTCAAAACTTGAATTTATAAAAAGTATTCTTTTTATATCAATAGATGCAGAATTTCAAGTTCTACAAAATGCTCTTTATCATAAGAACTGCGTTGCATTTGTAACCTAATGGTGAAGCTAAGATCTTTTCCTTGACAAAAAGGTGCCAAAAATGAATAAGCAGACCTTTTTTTTTGCAAGTGGCTTTTAAAAGGAAAAGATATTTATCAGAAAATTTGATGTTGTGTCTCAAAAACAGATACGTATCTGCGTTTTTTTCGTACTGGGTTTGAATAGCGTCGATAAAATTGTTTAATGAAGAAAAATTACATTTTATTGCAGTAAAATATTGAACAAATTATGTTTTTATGGTATCCAGCACCTTTAGCACTACAAGAACAGAACAAAAGATCATTGTAAAAGGAACATATCCATAAAATCTAAGCAAAATTCTTTATCTTTTAACATCAGAACGAAGCTTTCTGATCGAGCATAAGTCGAGAAAACAGCCTATCAAAAATCGGCAATTTCCTCTGCCGTATCCATTATTATGTTTTTCTTTGCTCCATTGATAGAACGGCAGTCGATCTAACCCATTCTTGATTGCGCCATTACATTGAGAAAAGAAACGTTAATACTCTTTAGTGTATACAATGATGCGATTTTTGTTCCAATCATACTTTTAAAACTTTCCTATTGCTAGAATGTTTGATTAGGATGAAAGTTTTAGTTTCATAGGACCCAGAGCTGGGCAAGTACGCACTTTCTCGAGTACGAGTACGAGTACGAGTACCAACCCTCCGAGTACGAGTACCAGTACGAGTACCAACCCCCCGAGTACGAGTACGAGTACGAGTACCAACCCCCCGAGTACGAGTACCAGTACGAGTACCGACCCCCCGAGTACGAGTACAGTACGAGTACGCACAAAGTCGTACTCGAGTACGAGTACTTCGAGTACGAGTACAAATTTTCTAAGTATAGTCTTAAACAAAAAGTAAAGTAAAAAGCTCTTTTTTCTATGTACAACTCATTTTTAACTTCTAAGGGTTTTAGTACTGTATGGTTTTCTACCGCGTAATAGTACATCGGTCAGTGTGCGAGATATTACTCTAAACTTCTGAAATATTTAGTGAGAAACAGACATTGGACGTAAGCATTTCCAAGTACTTTCTTATTGTAGAAGTAATATTCGTTTATACTTCAACAGCTATATACTTATAGGCTTTATTTTACGCGTCATAGCAGCGGCTACAAAATGGTACACTCTATTTTTCGATTCACATGTGTTATTATCAAGAAAACAATAAGGACTTAGCATTTTTGTGCAGATTGTAAAAATGGGCAACATTTTTTAAGTACTTCTTGTTCTTTTTGCCAATAAGACGTGTGAATGAAAAATCAAGTGTACCATTTTGTAGCCGCTAATGTGACATGTGAAATAAAACCTAGAGGTATATAGCTGTCGAAGTGCGGAAGAATACTACTGCTACAATAAGAAACTACTGGAAAGTACTTATGTCCAATGTCTGGTGAGAAAATGACATTCATAGCTCTAGAAAATACCATACATGCGCACATTGATGCCTAAAAAGAATATAGCAAGAGAAAAAAGTCAAAATTTCATAAAATTTCCGTTTATTGTGAAGCTTTTAGTAAATTAAATCATAATCAAAGCATATTGTATTTGAGCAAAGCAGATAAACAAGCAATTTTTTTCTAATTAATGATACTCGACGTAGATGTATAAAATAGCTGTTCTAAGTAAAAAGCATGTTCTATGGGAGCCGCTGTAACTGGTATTATCAAGTATTTCACCCAAGTCAACATCGTCATAGGTAAACTTTTTTGAGAAAAAGTAAATTATCTTCAAAATGCTCTTCATAGAAAAAGGTGTCACGCTCGATCTAAATTTCCCACTTTTCATCGAGTGAACTTTTTCAATTGGTTAAAATGAGGAAAAAGACACTATCCTTTACCAAGCGATCTATTTTTCTTTGCTGTAGCATTAGGATCACTTGGTTCACTAGTGTTTGACGCATCGGCTCAAATATCATGGCACATTGGAAGCTACAATTTAGAAAAAGACGAGCCAAATCACTAAGAATCTTTTCAAGAAGACGTACTTTTACAACACTATGACGGTTCAGAAGGAATACTAGTTTAAAATGTGACGCAAAAGTGACAAAATCAAAAAGAAAGTTACATTTTGGAAACCATTCCCATGTAGAGATAGAATTGAAAAGTACATCAATTTCAGAATAAAGAAGAAGTCCACTAAGCTTGGCTTTAATTGATGCAGTAAGAGTTTCATATAAAGACACGAGCATTAAAATAGAAGACCTAAATGCAAACTGTAGATAAAAAAGGATATCAGGAACAGTGGGCGCAACAAGAGCGGTACCAGCAAATAATTCTCTCTGAACTATTGTAGAAACTTTGCTAAATAGTTGAAACAAAGATAAGAAACCTTCAGAAATTTCTTGATCAACCGAGAAGAAGTCCTCAGCGATTCGCTCCATTCTCAAATAGAACGCATATTAACTTTTAACAGAAAAAGTTATATACGTTTTAAACTGTTTAATATGGAACCATCGAGTATGTGCTCGAGTTCCACCCTCGAGTACCGACCCCCGAGTACGAGTACGAGTACTGACTACCCGAGTACGAGTACCAGTACGAGTACCAACCCTTCGAGTACGAGTACAAGTACGAGTACCAACCCTTCGAGTACGAGTACGAGTACGAGTACGTGCAAAATCGTACTCGAGTACGAGTACTTCGAGTACTTTGCCCAGCTCTGATAGGACCTATTCATGAGGAGTATATCCATATGCAACTGAAGAAGTTTTTTTTATTTTTCAACTCATTTTGATATATCCTACTTATTCTTTCGACAAGCCCTAACAAAGCGAGGCGCATTCATCCTTTTCTCCGTCGCTCTCTATATAAATCAACCAAAACAATTGTGACGTACAAAAAAATTCAAATCGATCGACGATAAAATACTCCATTCTCTGTTGAAAGTGGATGAGTAGTACCTCAAAGAAGCACTTTATACGGAAGAGAAACGAATATCTACCACTTCGAATACATTAATACCGCGGCACACATTATTTCTTTCCAACATGTATGGCGTCGTGTGGATTGAATTTTTTTTTGATCACTATAGAAAATAAATCCGCGACTGTTTTGCTTACCTTCTCCGCAAAAGGAACGAATTCTGTTTCTGTTTCTTTTTGTTTTGCTTTACCATGAGAATTGACTTGTTGATACATATACGTACTAGAAAAAACAAACTTAATGCATTGTACGTAAAAGAAATGTCTCGAATATTGCATCGTTTAATCAATGAACCTATGTTCAGACAGAAGTTACTGACCTAAATTTCATTCATCTTCAATAATTTAATCTAAAACATTTTTCAACATGTAAGGATAAAGACAATATTTTATCGATTCGTAAAGAACTATCAGAACTTTGTTGAATTGACAATAAATGCAATTTCATGCAAAATTGAAAAGTTACGCATCGTAGTTTTAAAATACCACTAATGATCTTTGTAATCAGAACTAGATCTTGAGATTCAAATCGAATGATCACATTGAATGGTAAAATTCAGAAGAAAATAAGAGGCATGATTTAGTTAGCTTACTCAACGACATTTTCAATTCCATTTGGTTTAAATATCTCAATATTTTTAGAGCATTATAAGGCAACTTAATTCCAAAGTTTCACCTGATAATCTAAGACACGAGCTCAAAATATGAAATTCTGTAATCTATATAAAAAAATTTATAACTTTAAAATGAAGGTCGTTTTTTAAATAATCATAAAATACTTAACAAATTTCGAATTTCACTCTACTATTAACCCTTTCAATCCTGGCTTCTTTTCGAAAAATTGAAAAATCCAATATACGCCGAATAGTACTAAAGGAAAATCCCAATGTCGAATGTCACTACATCATAGAAAAAGATATTGTGGGGATTTATGAATGTAAAAAATAGTAATATTATGTATCAATTTGAAGGTATTGCTGACGTCTATTGAACTGTAAAATCAGTTTAATTCCATACATTAATATTGAAAAGAAAAACATGGGTGGCTTCTTAAGGAGCCGCCGGGACTGAAAGGGTTAAACTATTGGGTTGTTGCAAAAGTCCTTGCCGATTTTTTTAAAAATCTTTTAAAACCATTTGCGAATCTTATTCATGCCTGTCTTTTGTATATATCATAAATACTTGATGAGGGCTATAAAACTACATTAACAATGCTCTCAATTGTAGATCAAAAAATGTCTGAAATTCCTACTCATATTCGGCATTGTATTTTGTATAAGTTCGAACTCGGCAACAAGGCAAGCGCTGCTGTCCGCAATGTCTGTGCTGCACTCGGCGAAGGTACAGTTCCTGATCGCACATGTCGTCATTGGTTTAAAATATTTCAAGAAGGTAATATATCATTGGAAGATCATCCGAGATCCGGACATCCTCTCGAATATGATGGGGAGCGATTGCAAGCACTGATAGAAGACAATCCACGGCTAACCATACGTTAGTAGTCAACCATGCTCGGCTGCAACTATTCCACCATTGATTGTCACTTGCATGAAATGGAAAAAGTCAATAAACTTGAATCATGGGTTCCACGCCAACTGACACCAGACAACATCCAACAGAGGATCACCATCTGCAACTCGTTGTTGTTGAAGCGCAACCGATACAGGTTTCTCCAGCAAATCGTTACTGGTGATGAGAAGTGGGTTCTCTACGTTAACCCTTTACCCCCCGTTGGTCACTGGAGTGACCATTTGCAGAAACTAAAGGAAGCATTGAATTCAAAAACGATAAGAACCTTTTTTGTATCAAATTTCATGAACTATCGATTGGTAAAAAGATCATTTCTCTTCATTGCTTCGTTACTGAAATATCGGGTCTACAAAATCGATAATTTTGAAAAAATGAAAAAAATCGAAAATTTTGAAATAAAATTTTTTCTGCTCGTAGCCAAGAGAGATTTTTTGGAATTGCTGTGTGATATTAATTGATGAAGAATTCTTCTGGCGAATTAAATATGTTTCCAAAGTTTCATAAGAACTTCACGAATTACACATACAAAGGGATACAATTGATCATGTAGCCACTATCTCGTAGATGGAGGGTAATCAAGAAGGGAGTTAATACATGTATTATAAAGCTCAACTCATGACAAGTCGAAATCGTATGTATAATGAATTACATTTCTTCAGAGGTTATGAAACGGCTCGAAGCAAACTAGGCTACAACTTGACAACACATGTAAAAAAATATGTGTATACTTTGGTTTTAAATTTTTCGCTTCACTCCTTGCCTTTTTTTCGTCACTTTAATAGTGCAACGTAGATACTGCTTCGATCCACTATACGATATGGTCAAAGAAAAAAAGTCAAGTACTACAATGTAGTTCAAGTCACTTCCTATACCACAGAGTTATAGGATCAATCAAACCGCCCTACTCTAGAGGCAGGATTTTCGGTGGATCGGATCGCACCATTGGTATACTATGGGGGCTAGTACTCTATTATTAAAGTTATTTTGTCAGTTGCTCTTCTGGAACCACTATGGGGGGTAAAGGGTTAACCATACACGCAAGCGCCAATGGGTCAATCGTGGAGATTTGCCGGATCCAGAGCCGAAAACCGACTTGTACTCAAAAAAGGTTATGGTGTCAATTTGGTGGGATTTTCAAGGTATAATCTACTTCGAACTTCTTTCTCCTAACACCACCGTCGACTCCGAGCTGTACTGCAAATAACTCCAAAATTTGAAGGTCGTTCTGCAAGCCAAACATCCAGAAAGACACAAAGTTCGTCTGCTTCATGACAACGCTAGACCTCATATGGCAAAGATCACCCGTCAGAAGCTGGAAGAATTAGGCTGGCAGGTCTTACCCCATCCATCGTATTCATCAGACTTGGCATCTTCTGATCATCATCTGTTTCGTTCGCTTCGCAATCATCTGAGCGAGAAACATTTCGGCCATCAAGACCATTTAAAATCGGACCTCGAAACTTAATTTCAGTCTCATTCTAAAAAATTCTATGAAGATGGTATTATGGATTTACCTAAGAGATGGGAGTATGTCGTAGATAATAATGGTGCATATGTTATTGATTGATGGTCTTTTGTTTCAATAAAATTTAAAAAAGTTGAAAAGAAAAAAATCGGCAAGGACTTTTGCAACAATCCAATAATTCCAATTCTTTCCAACTCCAAAAATGTATTAGATTCAACAGAAGTCGTTTATCTTTATGACAACGCTCCGTGTCACAAAGCAAATGCCACTCAGCAATTGCTTAAAAACTCTGGAATCGATTTCTTCGACCGAACAGAATGGCCGGGAAGCTCTTCGGATCGTAATGTAGCGAAAAATGTTGGATCAATTTTAATGGACAAAGTAGAAAGTCTGATGATCAGCGAACGCGATTCTAATCAGAATTCTTCAGTCGTTTTGCTAAAACATCTTCAAAATGTTCTTCATGAACTTGAAAATGAAAGAGAACTTTTCGAAAATTTATTGAAATTGTATCCTCAGCGATTAAAAGCTGTATGTGAAGCCAACGGCGGTCACACTAAATATTAATGTATCATTTCTATTTAAATCCAATAAAGGTTTCACCTGATATATCACTTGCAACTGTACCACATTTACTTAATACTTTATTTCCTTCGTAAGAAGTTAACCACAATCCTGTGCATCTAAAATTTGGATTGACTATCTGTATCTATTGAATTGTTAACTATAGCCCAACATCCAATTTTTTACGGACTTTCATTTGGTATAAAATTCATTAGGTATCCACCTTGAAATCATATCGCTACCCCCTCCCCCCTGAAAAAAGGTTATGCAACACCCCGTAGATTGGCAATTTCTTTGATTATCATATCAACCTATTTTACTTGTATCTTAATATAACTCCTGCAAAACTTTTTTTCTTATAATTTTAACAATTATTATGATGATTTTATTAATGCCCGAAATTTCTTAAAAAATTGTTAATTGAGTTCATATTTATATATTTATTTATTTACTTCATTTTGTCTTTATTCATTCGTTGAATAGTATGTTGAATCCAATCATAATATGCACTAATACGTACATAAACACCTGGATAACCTTGTGGTGCAAAGTCACATCCATAACTAACAATACCTGTTAAAATCCATCGATCAACATCATATTTTTGTTTTTCAAAAAGTCCACCACCAATATCACCTTGACATAAATCACGTTTCGAATCTTTTGTACCAGCACATATTTGTTTATTAAAATCATATTTTCCATAAAAATAAGAACATTCATCTACAAGTGTTAACATGGCTTGTCGAAGTTCATTAGTACATGAAATAGACCAAGTATTATTTGGTATTGTACACCAACCAGCAACAATTAATGGATTAGATATATGAGGTTGTTGCATTGATTGTGCTAAACAAGCTGGTCTAATACGATCAGTAAATGATTGAATACGTTGACTAAGTCTTATTACAGCAATATTATTTATTGATGTTCCAAGATTATAATCAGAATGAAATATAAAACGTTCAACCGAAATACGATATGTAGAATTTAATCGATAATGTGCATCAAGAACAACTGAATATGGTATATGAATAAGATTATCTTGAAAACAACTTGCTGCTGTTAATATATGTTGATTATCAATTAAAGTTCCAGCACATATATGCTTTTCTTCATATTGAATTGAAACATACCATGGTAATGAATATGGACGAGCTTCTGTACCACTCAACATTTGATTTTCATAAGGAGGATATGCTGATATACTACATGGATTATATTCTATACAAAACCGTATCTAATGAACAAATAAATTAATTTTAAAATGTTTAATTGAAATTTAAAAAAAGTATATATTTAAACTTTACTTCATAGTCAATACATTGTTTTCCATTTATAGCATGACATATAAATCCATCATAGATTTGTGTATAATCTTCAATTAACATTGTTTGATTTGTTACTGATTGATAAGATGCCTTTCGTATTTCAAATAAACCCGTCCATAGACTATATTCAAATTTGAAAGGATATTTTGCTCGGATAATTGAAAAACGTTCAATATCATTTCCATCGGATTGAAAATCCCATGGATGATTTTCATTAAACCATTCACTTGCATTATTACATTTACAGTGAAATAATGGAAAAGAAATAAACAGAATCACAAGAATATACATGATATTGAAATGTCTGATAAAAAAAAATGGTAGTTTTGACCATGAATCAGTCTTAATATATATGTATGACAAGAAGTATCCAATTACTTGAATATGTAGTTAATTACTCATATTTAAGACGATATACTTAGAGAAAAGAAAATAAGAAAAAAAAAATCCAAGCTTTATATATGTGTATCTTTGTCTTTCGAATTATAAATGATCAATAAAAAGAAATTTTATCCCAACAATATTTTTGACTATAGTAAAACCTTTCTAATGTATGTATCATTGGAAGCAATCAAAAGTGTCTACTTTACGAATGTTTTCATGATTGGAAAGTTTTCAACATCTTTTGTACAAAACTATAAGCATTCACTTACAGTCACTTTTTGTCTGTCCGTGACAGTCTTTTATTTCTTTCAAATAGTTTATTTCGTTGAAATTTCCAACATTTTTTTCCAAAAAATAGCAATACTTTTACAATACAAAATGAATCACTTTTAAAATAATTGTGCAATGTAATTTGAAGAAAAATCTTTGAGTAAAGATAGATGTTTGTTAGCTTTAATTCAATATCATTTATAGTTTGGTGCAGTTGAGAGGATTGTATAACATAAAATAAAGGTAGTCCTTAAACAATGTCGATAGCTTTACTTATCTTTGACATAGTTTCATGATGATTTTCTTTTTCTTCATCATCATTATCATCATCATCTTCTAGTTCATTTATTTGAGCAACACTATCAAATAGAAGAAGTCGTTTCGAATCTTTTATCAATTCAAAATTTTTCATTCGAAATAAATCATCATATGATGACGTTGTACTATGTTACCGGTCGTTAACAAAAATAAAACGATAAAATATTCTACTAAGTTAGAACATTGCTTTAGTTCATCTTTGTTTTGTATGTGTGTTGTGAGTTTTTATCATGGCATAATCGGTATAATATTATTTGTTTTTCTCAGTCTATAAATGAATGATAGAACATATATTGCTCATGAAATCAGATGATAAAGCGCTCACTGATCAGAATGAGAAGATTTTCATATGGAAGAGGCTCATTGCCAGTTGATTTCACTTTAGAGTACCAAAGGCCATCCACTATAAGGGGAGGGTGTGGGTGTGGGTGTGATGGGAATGTTGGCATCACTCTTAACAACCACACCCACAACCACACCCACACCCATCTTATCATTTAAACACATTTCTTGCTCAATAGTTAGCACTACGTACTAGTCAACTAATATGTCGCTTACTTGGTAATGCTTCACATCAAAGTTCAATTCAGTTATTAAAACAATTTGTCAGCTATTTACTAGAATAAGTCTATAAATCTCGTGGACGTCTTTACTCATGGCAATGTATCTTAAAGAAGTCTGCAAATCGCATTGTCACATCATTCTATCTCTTTGCAATATTTGACTATTTTCATTATTTCTTGACAATACTGCACTGTTCTTCAAAAATACAGTTAAATCTATATAAATGAATGATCATCGTGAGGTTCTTGTATTCAGATATAGTCTGTATGTATTTTATTTATTTATGAGGGAACTATCCAAACTGTAACTCGCCGTTTGAGCTCATGGTGGGTTCACAAAGAAGTCTCAGTAAGATTAGAAAAAAAATTAAAAAATTTGTGCTCATGGGGCTCTGGAACCGAGTTATGACTGTTTTACTAAATTTTCCAACCATTTTTTGGTATTTACTGAACAATAAAATAATGGAATTTCGACCTGAAATTTTACTCATAGATAGGTCTAATGACTCTTAGAATATTTTGAAAGTTTCAGCCGAAAAGAATATTCCTTCGTCGAGTTATTGAATTTGCAAATAAATTCGATTTTTGTGACATGTCTGTAGCTAGCCAGGGCGAAACTACCCAGCAAGATCCTGACGGATCCCTGAATAATCCGACGTCATCCAACGACCAGAGCCGGTCGGAGTACCCGTTATATCTCTTCCCAGGTCGAAAATCTGACGTAAGATCTTGCCATTTGCATGTAAAATCTTGTAATCTGGACGAAATCTTATAAGAATCTGACAAAAAATCGTCGTCTAAGAAAACTTGCATCAGATCATACTATTAGATTCGCGAAAGAACTTACAAGGTAACAGGATCTTTCAAGAATTTTATAATACGACCCAGGTCAAAAAATCTGACAGTAAGTCTTGTACGATCATATGAAATCGTACAAAAAATCGTAGTCTCTGAAATCTTACATCAATTCTTACTGTAAGATTCCTGTCAGATCCTACCGTCGCATAGGATTCTCTATAATCTTACAGTAAAATCTGGCAAGACAACAAGATCTGTCAAGAATCTTACAATATGAATTGATGTACGATTTCAGAGACTACGATTTTTTGTACGATTTGGTATGAATCACACAAG